CGGGCTCTGCAAGAAGGGCGACGGGCGCGCTTTCCTGCACAAGTACGATGTGACCAAGATGCCCGAGTGCTATTTCTACTCCAAGTTCGGTAGGTGCAGGATGGGGACCCCAGCGAGCCTCTCCCACCCCAGCACCCATGTCCCTCGGGTCTGGCCTCCAGCAAGTGCCTGATGCCACCTCCTGTCTGTGGGAAGAAATGCCACCGGCACCCGCCCAGGGCCACCGCTGCCCTGGCCAAGCCTGGGGGCTCCTGGGCCACCTCTGTTCCTCCCACCCAACCCATCCTTGAGCGCTTTCCACCGCGTTTGGCTTGGGCGAGCGTTGTCCCACCCATGCCATCCCTTACTCCCACAGGGGAGTGCAGCAGCAAGGACTGTCCCTTCCTGCACGTTGATGCCACCGCCAGCACCATGGGCTGTCCCTGGTATGACCGCGGTTTCTGCAGGCACGGTGAGCTGCCGGGACGGGTGCCGGGGTGAGCAGCGGCTGCTCATGTTCCCTACCCACCGGTGATGGGGGATCCAGACCCCACTGCTGGCCTAATCTCCTGCCACCTCCGAGGTGACAGACCCAGAGTGGGGTGAACCACAGCGGGTTGTCTGGGGACTGCCTGGGAGTGCCACTGGGTGCCCGGTGGGGATTTGGGCTTGGGGTAGCAAAAGTCCCGCAGAGCTGCAGGGGAAGGGGGCTGCTGGGGAAAGCTGGGCTCCCGAAATCCCTGCGGGGCGGCGGGTGCTGCTCTGTCCCCGCAAACAGGAACCTGTCCTCTGTGTGGCAGGTCCCCTGTGCAAGTACAAGCACACGCAGAGGGTGATGTGCACCAACTACCTCGTTGGCTTCTGCCCAGAAGGACCCAAGTGCAAATTCACGCAGTACGTATGGGGCTCAGTGCGCAGCCAGCCCGGGACCGGGGGGCACAGCCCCCTCTCCAAGGCTGCAGAGGTGGCCGCGGCCCTTGCAGTGTCTGGGTCAAGGACAAGGGCACTTTTGGTCCTTCTCTGATCTAACTGGACCCCTCTGCTCTCTCCTCACGTCCAGCCTGAGCTGGTGACCACAGGGTTTGCAGGGGACAGCCCCAGTCCCCGTGGGGGAGCCTGTACCAGCTGCCTGAGCCCTGAGACACCCCTAAGAGGCTGTGGGAGCCATGGGGGGATCTGGGGGTCCCACTTGCAATGTCCAGGTGATTAACTGCCTGTCCTCTCTCCCCCTCCAGCCTCAAGGCCGGGCTGATGACGAGCAGCATGGATCCATCCAAGGTGACGCGGGGAATGTCCTATGCTGTTCCCTCTTGAGCCGAACCCTCTTGTGCCTCTGCCCGTTGGGGGCGATGCACCGGCTGCCCCCTGCCCCACAGCTCTTGTGGGACGGTAGCTGCCAACTGCCCCTCCTGCCCCATGTCCCCCCAGGGAGCTGGCTGTCCCCGGGGGCTGGATCTGGCTGTCAGCGGGGACAGTGGATGCAAGGACGTGCCACCCATGGAGACCACTCTACCAGCCACCGGCGCTACCCAGCGCCTGGCAGCACAGCTGTGGGACACCAGTAGCTGCCCCCCGGGCCCACAGGGCCTGCTTGAACCAGACATCTGCTTCAAGGTGAGTGGTTTTGGGACTGGGAAGCCTGGGAGCAACAGTCTTGCTTCTCCAAGGCATAAAGTGCTACGGTGAGGGACAGCACGTGGCGTGGGGACTTCCACAGCGCTCTTGAAATAGCTTCCTCGACTCGAGATGTCTGTCTTCTTCTCCCTGGGCTGTGTTTCTTGGCCCTGGAGCCTGCCTCCCCCTGGGAGCTGGGGTGTGAACCAGCAGGGAAGAAGGCTGTACTTGGCTTGAAATAATCTGACTCCTCACGACGGTGGGGAGAAGGCGATTCTGTGGTAATAAGTGCTTGGCACGCGGTGGAATAGCCCCACAGAGCAGCGAGCCCCTTGCATCCCTCTGGGCTGCGGGTTTGTTGCAGTAGGTCTCAGGCTGCTGCTTGTAGGAGAAAGCGGCGCCACAAGGCACGGCTCCATTCACCCAGTCACTGGGAAACGACGGGACAAGGAAGACGTGGGAACACAGCACAGCGTTGATCCAGCACAAAACTGATGGTTGCCTCTCCCTGTCCCCACAGTGCGGACAGAAAGGTCACTATGCCAGAAAGTGTGGGAAAACTCAGATGGAAATCCTGCTGGGGAAGTGACTCCAGGGGTCCTGCAAGGACCGCGGAAGGAGGACACCGTAAAGCGCAACGGAGCCAGCGAGATGGCTACTAGGACAGTCGCTGGACTAAAAAAGCTGGTTGGCTTTGCTCAGCACCGGCTCTCGCAGCTCTCTGCACAAGCAGCAGAGAAATCGCAGCTTCCCCAATGTGACCAAAACTGGACACTTCACAGCTGCCTCCGTTCCCTCCGGCGCAGCCGACTGCACGTGCACGGGGCAGCAGGAGCGGTCACTGCAATCGCAGGTTTGAAGGGGTGCGGGACCGGCTTGTGCCGGCGTCCGGGGCTGGTGAGGGTGTGGGTGTACCAATCCCCTGTGAAGGGGGGGCAAGAAGCACCATGTTTGAGAACACACAGTACCAAGCAGGAAAGGAAAATTCACAAAGGCTTTTATTGCTGGTGAGAGGGAGTTTTTGGTGAAACACCTCTGACACAGTACTACTGCACTGCTCTTTAAATAAAGAGTTCAGATTTCTTTTTTCCTTGGCTTTTTTGTTTTACCCTTCATGCCTGTAACATGACCAGTCCTTTCCCAGACATGTTTGGTGATGGCAGGCTACAACTAGCACTCTCGTAACTGTCCTCATTTGTCTGATGCAGACACTGGTTTGCCCTTTGGGCACAACAGCTAATCCAATGGATTTTCTTCCTCCAGAAATAGGGCGCTGCGGTCTGAGGGCTGCTGCTTTCATGCCTTCACACACTTCAGAGCCTGGGCAGTCCCACCAGTGCCCTGCTGACAGCAAAGCAAGGGCTGGGGGCCTTTTTATGGGCCCTGCAGGGATCACCCTTCTCCTGCCGCTCGGCAGCAAAGCCCATCGTGCTTTCTGTGGAGAGGAGTAAGGAAAGACAGGCTCCGCCAGGCACTACTCTGCTAACTTAAAGGAAATTGTTATTCTGGCCTAAGCCCACCCCGCCACAATCTATCACAGATCTCACTGCCAAACACTGCCTACAACATACATGTTGATTATGTTATACTAACAGCACAGGTCAAGGAGTTGTCCTGTGTCTGGAGTCCCAAAGAGAGAGATTTGGGCTCCTGCAGACTACAGGAGCTCTACAGCAAACAGACCCCTGAGGGACAGCTCTAACAGTTTCTTCTTTCAGAACTAAATACTGCCTGAACCACAGAGCAGTGACTGCAGGCTGTTACTGTCAGTGTCGCTCCTCTGGCTGCAGGAGGGTAACTGAAAAGCAGCCCCCTCAGCAATTCAAGAGCCTGCCTCTGACAGTAAATGGGCCTCTGCTGATCTGAATCCATGCTGGGACACTGGTCCTGAGCACTTCTGCTGACTCCGGTCAAATATTTGTGACAATTCCTCAGGCGCTGTTCCAGCTTCTTCAGTGGTATTTACGCCAGCGATGACACTCTAGAAACACGCGGGGGGGGCCGTATCTGGTGCGGGAAGCAGAGTGCGTCGCTCCCATCTCACGGCCGGCTTCCTGCAGCTCAGCCCCCGCTGTGCGAGCGGGGCTTTGCCAGCGCGGAGGGTGTCTTCCGTATTTACGCCAGCGATGACACTCTAGAAACACGCGGGGGGAAAAAAAAAAAACAAACAGAATTGTTAGCACAGTGCTATGCTCAGGGACTATGTGAGTGTGCTTTGCTCAGCAGTGAGAAGGAGACTGACTGCTGCCCTCTCTGTTTCTGTGCTGTAGAGCTGTGCACGAGAGCAAGTCCTGCTGGGGAAACTACACTAACACCAGTAAACCCCTTGGCAGTTACGAGTAAATCCAGAGAATTGGGCGTTTGGTGTTGGAACATCTCCTCCCTCTGCTCCGTGCAGGGTTTGAAAATGCTCCTGACAGTTCCTGTCACTCTCCAGGGAGAAGCTGTGAATCAGCAACTGTTATCACCACCTTTATTGGCTAAATTTCTCTGCCTACCTAAGCCAGCTCAGAATACTGTTCTCTGAGCTCTGACAGTAGTCTTAACTGTGAAGTATTTCAATTACTTCAACGCTTGAATTAACGTGAATGGCAAATAGACTTTCTACCCATCGTGAAAATGAGAATTCTTGAAACAAGACAGATACCGAGAAGGAAATCTTACTGATGTGCTGATAGTTCCAGCCATAGCTGAGGAGGCAGTATCCAGCCAGCAGCATGGAGATCCCAGCTGGTCCGCCCCTCTTCACGTTGATGTATTTGTCATAATAGCTGCTCCAGGCTGTTGGAACAGAAATGCAAGGGTTAAACCATGGTCAGGTCTTAGGAGTTCACTGGTTTCCACATAACTTTCCGAAGCCAAACGGTTGGATTTATTTATTTACTTCTTTATACAGATCCAGACTAGCCACATGGACTAGGCTGCAGCAAGTAAATCAGGCAAGTGGGACAATTCCGCCCCAAACACCAGGAATTTAGCCTCACCTTTCTGCACTCCTCCAAGCAGTCCCTGGAGAGAAAAGTCGCAGGTGGCCATCCACGCAGGCAGCTCGCCCAGCCTTACATCCATCAGACGCCTTTCTGAGAGGGGACCTGTGTGATGAGAAGTCAGAGTGGTCAAAGGTAGGAAAGTGAGGGCAATGCGTGTAGTGCTCACATTCCCTGCGCTGGGTGGTGAGCACCGAGCTGGTATCTGGTATGGCTGCAAGTGACTTGGGCTTGGGACTGACTGCTCAGAAAGGAATAGTGAATCGTCTCTCCCACTAAGTGAGTTGGCTCCACCAGCCCAAACATGCAACAGCCTGTCTTAAATCTAAACAGAAATGTAAACCGTTGGTTTTACAGGTTGGAGGATTCGACAGTTAACCTCCTTGCATCGTTCCTGGATCCCTTTCTGGACTAGCCCAGCAGCTTAGTGTTTCCTACCCCTCCTCTCCCAATCACATCAGACAGTTTAGCCTGACAGTGCAATGAATCTCAGCAGCAGACTTGTTTCTCACATTACCTTGCTGTCCGTCTGAGAAATTGCCCCTTGGTATCTTCGTTATGATCTCCACGCCTTCTTGGAAAGGCTTCCCTGGAAAAATACTCAGCCCATGATAATTAGGATATAAGTCTGGAAACCACTCCAAGCCCAGGGCACCTGCCGGCGTGCTCCTGCCAGAGGCCTGGGATAGACAGATGGCTTGGCTTTTGGAGGTGTGGAGCAAGAACTGGTCCAGCACCAGCTCGGTGTCCCTCCTTGCATTCAGGATGGGCTCAGAAACTACAGCCATCTGCTTCTCACCCTCTCGAAGCTTTTGTATGCTGGTTAGGTAATTTTTGGATGTCTCTTCATTGTGACCTTTGAAACCCTCCACCCCTGACAGATGGAGGTTCTTGGTATGCAAAGCAGGAAGAGGGGCTTTATATTCCACACCAGCTTCTAGGTACATCTGCTTCTCTTCTGTCACAGTTTTGT